AAAATATTCGCCTAGATCAGAAGTTTTCAACCCAAGGGGTCGAATGACCCTTTCACAGCGGTCATCTAAGACCGTCAGAAAACAGACATGTATATTATGATTCATAACAATAGCAAAAGTACAGTTATGAAGTAGCAACAAAAATAATCTCTGTGGTTGGCGGTCACCACAGCATGATTGAAGGGTCACAGCATTAGGAAGGCTGAGAATCGCAGGCCCAGTCGGTCTTAAATACTGGTGGCAAGGGCAAACGAGAGCACGGTAAAGCAGCAGAACATGCCTGACCTTTAAGATTCCAAGGCCATGGTTAGTCTCGGGATCCCTGGACCCAGCACAGCTCCATCACCTAAGGGACAGAATGAGTTCCACATTCCATTCCTCACAGCTGATACTGCAAATGTAGTTTCCAGATTATTTAAAACTAGGGCAAAAGTAGCAATGTTTAGCATTTGCCAGCTAATCTGCTGATCAATACATTGAAGAGCTTATAACTACAGAATTAAGCTTAATTCTGCCCACTAGTGACAAAGGGGACCTGGCAACACAGGATACTTGTGGGTGGAAGGTTCTTGGGCCCCTTCACTACAGGCCCCCAACCCCACACACATATTCTCTACAGCCCAAAGGCGGAATTGTACCTGGCCATTCTGACCAGTCCTGTCCCATCATGCCCCTGAATACCTCGTACCACCTGGACAACCAGTTCCAAGTGCTGGTATCCCCACCACTCACCCCACCCCAGTGGCCCTTTCTATTTCTGGATAGTGGCCAATCTGCTTGCTGTAAGGTGGAATATACTGGATCAATAGGCTGTGAAGTATCAGGCTGCTGCCTCTCCCTCTCTCCAGGCGGGGCCAGGGTGGCCAGCACCTCTTCCAGCTCTGAGGTCTTCCCTCTTTATGTGTAGTGTGCAGACGTGCAAGAATGAAGCCTCTGGGTTACTACAGGAAGGAAGGTAGGTAGGAATTTAAAGAGCAAAACAAAACATGGTGACTGGTGTTTGCAAGCCGAGCCTCCAGGCCTGGTAAAACAGATCCCTGCCTATTTTTGGTGTGGTCCTAAAAAGACAAAGAATGATGGCCTGGTGGGTGCCAATCTGCAGAAACAAGCTCCTTCTTCAGTTCAGGGCTCAAAGTACACAGCAGAGAGACTCCAACTCCAGCTGCCAGTGTGCAGAGCAAGGCCACAGAAGGTAAAGGAGAACCTTCCCAGCACATGATCCCTGGCCCACATGGGTGTAGGCATTTTTGAAACAGTTTAGCAACCAACTGTGGCCAGCTTTCCCCCAGCACAATGGAATTAGTATGTAATAAAATGATGTTTTGGCCATCTGCAAAGGATGGTCACTTCCCACCAATCAGAGCATGTGCCGAATCCCCAGGCAGCAAAGGCTGTAGGGCTGGCAAGAAGGAAGAGCACTGACCCGGCAGGGTAAACGGGCTGCCGTGACTTGGCTGCCAAGCACACGGCACATTTTGATGCTGCTCTATAACTGGACCTTGCATGGATGGGACAGAGCCACCTGGCGCAGGCTGACTCTGACATATAAATGAGGTCATTAAGAGAGAACACAAGCAAACCCCAATATCCCCATCAGTCTCAACACTGGAGATGGCCCTCCTCTCTTGGCTGGCTTGAGCAGGTGAGCACTCAGGAATGCTGCGACCCCTGTGTGAGCCTCCCCCCCCCCCCAACCCCATACCCCATCCCCATCTCCCCACTCCACACAATGGAAACGTGGCCACAGACAGCATGAGTTTTCTGAAAGTACAGCTTTGGGAAGGAGCTCAAGCTGCACACATGTGACTTCAGAAGCACAACAGGACACAGAACAACTCCTACAGAGTGAGAGGACCCTGCAAACTTAGTTCAAAAGGAAAAAAGTGTCATCTCTAAGCACAACAGGAGAAAACCGCAATGAAAAGAGGGAAGCATTCAAGTGACTTCTACAGCTGATCACAGATCCCAACAGAAAGGTAGCCCAAGGGCTCCATACACATGCACCGCACACGTGGGGGACTCTGAAGCCAGGCCATCACTTACGTATGGCTTCGGCAGCTTGTTGGTGTGGCTTTAACGAGCCATGCTTCACTAGACCCTAATCTGTTGAGAAGTCACGCCTCATTTCTATCTTGACATCCATCATGCTTCAATTAAAAAATTAATAAGCACCCTGTGTCCCCAACCCACTCTCTAACAGGGGGTCTGCTGTCCAGACTGAAGATAGGTGACCCCAAGGCTGGCTTCACACAAGCTGGAACCTTTCAAGCCACCCCAGGAAGCCATGCAAACGAATCCTGAAAGGCCTGGCTCTAAGAAGAGAATTCCTTCATGCCCCATATAATATTCTTAAAGTTTGACAACTTAAAATATACCTAAGCATGGTAGCTTAGGCCTCTGACCTCAGTAGTAGGGAAGCTGAGGCAGAAGGGTGTCAAATTCAAGGCTAACCTGGGATAGATAGCCAGACCTTGTCTCAGCAATAGCAAGAAAAATGAACATTCCTATAGCCTAACATGACTAGTGAATCAAGTTATTTGACATATTCTCTACACACAGGTAAAACCGACACACCACGAAGACATGCCACGTTCAACCTCTTGCGGGGGTGACCCTACTCAAAGGTGAGTGACCAAAGAGCCGAGTGCAGAGCAGGAAAGACCACCATTCCTGATGCCACTTGGCCACACCACCGCCCTACAGTCTCAAAAAGGTGGGCTGGGCATGTGGATCTTCAAAAGGTTATTGGAAAACAACAACAACAATCAAACAGAAACAGCGGAAATTTTGTACTCAGACATAGGCATACAGTGGTATGCAAGGTTTCCATTACTGTGACCAAATTCCTGCCACAACTTAAAGGGAGGTCATGTTTCTTCTGGCTTGTGGCTTCAGAACTCTCTGTCCATGGTTGGCCGACTCTGGGACTCTTGGGCCTGTGGGGAGGCCAAACGCTGGACACCGAGTGTGGAGTGAGGCTGCACACCTTATGCTGACCACAAAAAAAAAAAAAAAAAAAAAAAAAAAGAAAGAAAGAAAGAAAGAAAGAGGGGCCAGGGTCCCAGTACCTCCTTCACCGGCTTGCACTATAAGGCTACCTTCCTTCCATGAGGTCCCACCTCCTGAAGGTTCCATGAGGAGGGCAAGAGCAAACTCTAACTGTTGGGCACAGTCAACAACTGTTAGCTCTTACCCCTGACCTTGGTCTCTCTATCTCTACCTCTCGGACAGTTCTTTGTACGAGTCAGAGTGGGAAAGGGAAGCGCAATTGGATGCCAAGACAGATGCAGTTCATGGCACTCCATCCTGAGTCCACGCAGCCTGCACAGGCAACCTGAGGCAGAGCACCCTGACCCAGCACCTGCTGAGAGGCAGCCTTGCAGCCTTTCCTTCCTGCTCTGTCATGCTGCGATTCCCTCCTGGACCTGAGGGAAACTGGCATCTATGGTAAAGCAATCGAGCTACACACATCTCGGAGATGAGTGGTGAGGGGGGCCCAGGGGAAAGCAACAGCTGTAACCCGATGCTTCAGTTGCCGAAAGAACAAAGCAGCCCGTTAAACACCAAGCGTCGGCAGAGAAATGTGTTCATCCTCCTGTGCTTCCGTGTTAGGTTATTTCAAAACTACAGTGATGACTAAGTCAGCCAACTGAGCTGAAGCTCAGCTAAGCATACTTTCATGGGGACCTGATCACACCTCCGACTTGGGCCTGCCTCGTCCACACAGGGTTGGCCACAGACTGCTGAAGAGAAAGCCAAGACTTCCTAGATGGAACAATCACAACATCAAGTCTGACTTCTGGATGTCTGTGCCACCCATATACTTCGAGGATATTTGTGTGTGTAAGTGTATGTGCATTTACGTGTACATGAGCATGTGCACGGGTGTTCATATGCGTGTTCACGTATGTGCGTGTATATGCACACCCTGAGACCATCTCTTTCATACCCACCTTCTCTTCCAGTGCAGCCCAAGGCACCTGTGGCTGGCTTTCTCACAGGGCCACTAACCTGAAACCACCCCCTTCTCACGTCCCGAGTATTTTGCAATTCCTGCTCACAACTCCTTCCTTCCCTCCACGCTTGTCTCGCACACCTGCTCGCAGCTGGAGCTGCTGGCCCTATAAACAGCGATGGGGTGGCTGCACTGGGGACTTTCCAGGCAGCTAGGAGAGTTTTATCTGGATTTGACGGCAATCTCCTACTATTGCCTTGTTTTCCTGGTGAAAGCATGCTAACTCCTGACAACGGAATAAAAGTAAATCACCAGAGCAGATGCAAGGTCGGAAACCGCCACTTTAAATGAGGCCTCACTGCTCCACATCCAGGAAGGCATGGAACACAATGGGGAAAGCAGACTTGGTTCCAGATCCCCATCAAATCATCTACGTAAGCTGGAAGGCCTCCTGGGAGCTGATTTCAATTACTCCTGTGGCTTTGCAATGTTGAGTGTTTTAGTATTTTCAAGTACTAGCTCAGTGCCAGCTCATCCAAGGCATCATTTTAAAACCAATTATTTCATATGTTTAAAAACAAAACAAAACAAAAAACAAACTTAAGAATGAGCTGAATACTTTAAAAACAGATGTGTTACAACTTTTTGTTGTTAACCTTTCAAGCTAGAAAGGACACTGCTGGTATGGGGATGGCTAAGGAAACTCACCCAACGTGGGAGCCTGGGGTGCTAACTTGGTGGGTGCCTGCAGAGCTGTGGCCTACACGCAAGCTTCTAGAGAGGGTAAGCAAGGTAACAGGGGGGAGGGGGTCATAATTAACTTTATAACCAATGCTTATCCTGGATTTTATCAATGGGCTCAGACTCGGAGAAAGATCACCATATGAAACTCATCTTCTCTGTCGGGAGGAATCCCGGAGCCCAGTGGTGGGGTCTGGCTTGGGAGAGGAGAGGTTTTCCTGTGTTTTGAATTCCATACAAAGAGCAGCACAGAAGAAAGCAGCTGAGCGCCCCGGCCCCGAGAAACCATGAGGAAGGTACGCACCAGGTCGATCAGGTCACTGAGGTTTTTCTCTATCTGCTGTGGAGGCAGGCGCCTCATTAGGTCCAAGGCACAGTCCAGCTGCTGGTCGCTCTGTGGAGGAACAAAGAAAAGCATCAGAGTCACTCCCACCAATACGAACAGCTCCTTCAAAAAGGCACTCATTCCTTCTGATGCTGCTCCCTCGGGACATTCTGACACCCAAGGAGCTGGCAATGGACCCTCTGTCAGGCCTGTTAGGGGGATGCTACGCAGGCAGCCCTGCCCCCCCCCTTTTCCAGAACAGCCTGCTGTGTTCGATCCAGAAGGGGACAGAGCAAGATGGAGGCCCGTCAAGCACTTTCTCGGCACCCTGTGCAACAGAACTCACAGTTACAGGTGCTAACTCCTACAGGTGCTTAGAGAAAGTTAGGGTATCGAACACTATCACATGATACAGCCAGACTAGGGATTCCCAACAAAGTCCACATCAGAAAGAAAGAAGTAAAGAGCCAGGGCCACACACAGTGCGTAATAAGATTACAAGTCCTTCATTCATTCGTTCATTCGTTCATTCGATACCTATAACGTTTCCTGGACCTCTTTGCTAACTGGCCTAAGCCCTAAAGAGCTGTGGCAGGATTGCTGAGAGGGAAAGCACCTGTCCCCAAGCTTGGCAACCTGAGTTCAATTCCTGGGACTGACACAGCAGAAGGGAAGAGCTGACTGCCCACGAGTTGTTGTGGTAACTTTCACAAGGGCACCTTGGCGCAGGCACCCATGCACAACCACAAAATAAATGAATTAATTTTAAAGCGGGCTCCCTCTAACATAATAAACTGCCACCTGCTCCACGGGTACTGGAGGATAAAACTCACTCCTTCACTTTCCAAAGCTACAACAGTGTGCTGCCTGTTCCCTGAGGGCCACCAGCACTGCTAACCGCGGACAAGCAGAAACAACAAATGGACAGGAGGTGGGGGAGAGGAGAAGGCAGAGCGGGGCGGGGCCAGTAAAGAGAACGAAGTTCCAGCACTTGGCACTAAGTGAGGAAGGTATGCCCAGAGAAAGGTGAGGACAGGGATGAGGGGTGGAGGGAGAGAGTGGTGGGGTGGGGCATTCTGAGGGCAGGTGGCCATAGGAGTCCTCAGCACCAAGAATAGGTTTTGATTCCTATCTAATACCTGTTCTGGTCCAGCTCACCTCAGGACTTCTGAAGGCCCTAAACGAGCAAGCCAAAGAGTCTCATAAAACACACACAGGAATCCTTAGAACGCCACATTTGGCTGCAATGAGCCACATACTTCAAGGATTATTGCCATCTAGGCTCTACTATCCACAGCAAGCGTGGGGCAGGGGCCCACTTTGTTTCCATCTGACACGGCACACTGCTTAACTGGAGCTAAATGTATTTTCACATATACATACACGGCACATTGTTAAAAAGTTTGTCCCTTGCTCAAGATGTTTATACACGATCATTTATTCTTAAAGAACAAACTCAAGAAAAGAATACAAAGCACTCCCCACCCCTGCTGCTGCTGTTTAATGAGGCATTTGGAGTTCTTGCTTGTGCCATCCACTTTTAAGTCAAGATATGTCACCAAGGCCACAGTGGCATGGATTTGGCTCACAGGCACAGGAGGCTACTGTAACATGTCAGGGTACAGTAGCACAGGTGAGCTGACTAACTCCATTTCCCAAGTCTGCTCCCCCCCCCCCCATGGACTTAGAACGCTGGGCCAGTTGCTTCCTCCACCAACCTCCATGTATACAGGGAATGGGGACAGTCACAGGATGGTGACTTGGGGAATAATGCACATGGGTTACCAACACACAGTATGTGTTGAATACCTAGAGCATCTTATGTAAATATCATTCAGGCCTCATATATGTAAAAACTTAAGGGGCTGGGGAGATGGCCCAGAAAAAGGTTAAGAGCATGTATTACTCTTCCAGAGACCAAAGTTTGATTCCCAGCACCCACACCAGGTGGCTCACAATCACAACTCCAGCTCCAGGGAGATCCTCTACACCTTTGGCTTCTGGGGGCACATGTATATACACACATACACACACACACACACACCCTACCATCTTACTGCTGTCATCAACTAGACAACAGAGTCAATCCCATTTTACCCACATAGAAACGAAACCCCTGGAACAGAAGACGTGCTCAGCTGGGACAGTGCTTGCCTAGCACGTGCAAAGCCCTGGGTTCCATCCCCAACATAAACAGGATGGTGGTACATGCATGCAATTCTAGCACCTGGGAGGCAGACAGGAGGCTCAGAAGTTCCAAGTCATCCTCAACTTACATAGTGAAGTCACCACAACCAGCCTGGGACACATGAGACCCTGCTTCCAAGTAAGTCCTGGAGAAATGGCTCAGAGGCTATGTGATCATTCTGCTCCTGCAAAGGACCCGAGTTCTGTTCCTAGCACTCACATCAGGAGGCTCACAAATGCCTCAGAGGCTCACCCCAGCCTCTGAGCATGTACATGCATACACATATATGCACACACTTAAGCACAGTAACTATAAAGAAAGAACAGAAACTCTAAATGATTCAATTACAGCTAGTGTTTCTCACCCAGAGATAATTTCTGCAGGACCTGCCATGTCTGTACATCTACTTGACCTGTTCTAGGAGATGCTGAGAGACACATGAGGGTGCTTTTGCCTATCACAGGGGACAGGGATGCTGCCAGCATTTAATGACAAAGGGATGCCACTCAACATCTCACAATGAGAAGGACAGCCTCCCCATAACTGCCTGGCTAACAGAGTCATTTTTTGTTTTGTTTTGTTTTGGGGGGGGGGGCTTGCTGCTAGTACCTGATCAAAGCAAGGGCCCTCTTCAAAAACACCTGGCATGCATTTATTCATGACCACTCAGGCACTAAAAACTGTGGGTTTTGGAAAACAGATATTTGCAACCTTCCTCAGAACTCACAAGCAATGTATGCAAGCCAAGCTCACTTGCAACCATAATCCTGACACAAAAGGACTTGTGGGAATTAACTAGAAACCGAGTAAGAGAAACTTGACTTATGAAGGCCAGCGAGGAAGAGCACCATCCTGATCTCTGTGAAGCCTCTTCGTACCCCCAGACCCTAGCATGCCATTCCTCCCCACCCCAAAGGGCCTGTGCAGGAGGTCCCCCTCCTTCCAGCCAGCCAGACTGCACCCACTGGCAGGGCATCGTTCCTGCCCCTCCAATCTCAGGACTCTGCCCTTGTCCCAATTCGTCTTAATTAGAAATGTTTCACAACAAATTTCTGGAGCTAAGGATGTTTAACTCTCATTAGGTTAGGAAATGACTAAATGCTTCCCATAAGTGAAGCAACATGGGAAAGCCTACTGACAGCCCGTAAAAAGTTAAAATTAGAGTGGACTGGAGCCACTCGCTACGAGTTGTCCCAAGTCTAAGAGGTCCAAAGGGAAATGGCAACAAGAACGTGAAGAAAACAGGATTGTGGTGAGGGGGTCTCTAGGGGCCAACTCAGGAGATGCCCCCATTTTCATATGGCCCATACCTTTCACAAAGTATGAGAACTTGTCTGTTATACATGGATCTTTAAGCACCTCAAACTAATGCAGCAGCCCGGGGAATGGCAAATACAGAATTCCTAAGTGAGAAGAGTCCCATAGCCACCAGAAGATGGAGGACAACCGTGTCTAGGTCTTACAAGGCAGGCTGTGACGCTTCAAACTGTGCTAATCCTTTACTTGTGGAGTCGGCAGACACCTAAGTATATATTTTTAAACATCTTTTATATTGCTTGCATGTATGTCTGTGCACCCTGCACATGCCTAGTGCCAAAGAAGGCCAGAAGAGGCCATCAGACCTGGAGTGCCATACTTGTGAGCCACCATGTGGATGCTGGGAATCGAACCCGGGTCCTCTCGAGAGCAACAAGTGTTCTTAACCACTGAGCTGTTACATCTCCAGCCCTCCTAAATAAAGTAGTAGGAGGAAATACCCAGGGGCATGTGAAGATGAGGTACAGCAGAGGAGAAGTCTTTCCTGTGGCCAGATGGCTGCGTGACTTCAATCTGTGCCTGGCTTTGGCCTGCGTGCCCTCTAGGATGCCCCCTAAGTGGATCCTGTTCCTCCTCCCTCATTCTAAATGGAGATGCATGGCTGGGTCCCTCTCCCCTGCCCTCCGGAATCACAATTCAACAACTAGGCATTGAGTGCCAGGCCCCAAACTTAGCCTGATGTGTGAGACTTAGTCCCAATTGTCACAGAACTGTCCAAATAGCCACTGCGGTGGGATGTGCACATGAAAGGGACACAGAAGACACAGGCATGGCACAATGGTGTGATTGACCTTTGGTTCCTCTGCCTGTCTTCTTAGGCTGTCCTACCCATCACAGCTACTTATTCTGCAAACTTCAACCCCTTGACTGAAATAGCTTCTTCCAAATGCCCTTCTTCGGAAAGCAAGCTTTCTGGGCTCTTCCTCCCAGAAGCCGGAGCCTATGGGACGGGATGAAAAGTAGCCAAAGAAAGACCATTTCACTTCACCTTCCACATCTCTCTGCCCATTCAATTAGTCACTCAATAATTATTTATTGTTTCCTAGGAAACAAGCTCTGTTTTTGATGCTCAGCAATGAACATGAAGTCCCTGGTCTTTTAAAGAGCTTACAGTGCAGGGGGGAAAAATCAGAATCAATTAGGAAAAAACCACCCGGGACAGAGCCTGAGGGAATGAAAGGATAAGTAAGGGCGGTGGCCTCTGAGGAACACCAGCGGAGGCAGGGAAGGTTTGGCTCTTGCTGGCTTTCACATGACTTAAAAAACAAAAAAGTCACAAAACCGCCTAACTTGCCTGGCAACAAGTAAAATAGTGTCCATATGGATGAGAACTAACAGTCAAATAAATTACCACAGGCCAAAATACCCACTGGCGAGTACAGACATCCGAGTGTCGTCCAGTCTTGTACAGACAGTCAAACCTGCCCTGCTAAGCACACACAGAGACAGAGTCCCCAGGAAACCAACAAAGAAAGTGTATCAGTTCTCTGCAGGGGACACCAAGAGCAGACAAGTCCCAGCCTGTGATAAGTCCCAGCTGAACAAAGTGTACACGCTACCCCGG